CGGGCACGTGTTAAGTTCCCTGTGCAAGTCGGACTAATTGCATTCACATGAGAACGCCCACCTGCTAGACAAGAAACGTTTGGCAAAGTACCGGTAAAGATGCAACAAAGAAATAAGCTCTTAAGTTATATATATATATATATAACGAAAATCTTGGTAATCCGTATGGATTATCCCAAGGAGGATTAAATCCTGAGAGCTCAGTGTTAAGTCAGAGCGAATAATTTAATTCAAAGAAAAGCAAACCACTTTAAGGTTCGATTTGTTATAATTTATTTCACCAGAGAATTTTATTTTTCTCTGGATCTTCAGACTTCACTTTCAAAGGTGAAACGAATAAATGATTTTAAAATTTACACTTTTGACGGGTAGTATTAAGCTTATATAAGTTGACATAGAAGGTGGTGAGGTATAGTGTGAGAGACATGGTCGAGCTTAGAGAGGGAAGGGAGAGTTTTAAAATTTTTTTATTTTTATTTTTATTACAATACTTAATATTTAGGAAGGAGGGGGTAAGGATAAGACATTGACCTATTTAATCGGTCAACTCAACGGAAATGATATGGGAAAAAGGAAAAAAGGGGAAAAAAGGGTAAAAGGAAAAAAAGAAAATAGAGGGGATATATATATATATATATATATATATATATATATATATATAACCGAATGCGCAAATATAGATGGATGTACGAGCGAGCGATCGTATACAAATACATATAAATACTCTATAGTGCTCAATGTTAAATAACAGAGCTATTTAGTATATATTGAAAAATATACATAATGCCATACATTGATTGCACAACTCTGAGTTTCATGCCGAAGCAATTCTCAAGCGCTGGATTTTTGTTTTGGGTTAACACCTGTTTAATGAAATTTCTGGTTATCACGAGTTACTTTATTGTTGAGGTGGAATATCATCATTGTTAAAATATTTAAATGAATTGTAGTTTAATTTTGAATTTGAATTTAGGACCAGGTTAATATTTAAGATTAAAAAATGGGGTTGGAAATAATAATTATAAATTCTAATTTAGAGAGACGCTGATGTAATGACAAGTAATAAACAAGAAGAGACGTCAGAAAATCAAGGCGGCGTAATTCCATTTTTTCCTAAAAATCAATAGAGTAATTAATAATATTATTAATATTAATATTACTAAGTAAAAGTAGTTATATCGATAATAATAATAATAATAAAATATGGTACTTTATCTATTAGTACTTTAATTTAATTTTACCACGGCATATTATTATTATTATTATTATCAATATCACTACTTTTCAGTTCAAAAACAATAATTTAATTTGTAGTTCAAAAACAATAATTTGTATTTACTCAGCCCCCAACCCCGAGCAAGGAACAAAAATTCCCCGGGCCCCCTCAACCGTCGGTTGCGCTGGCCTCTGTGCGTGCACCGATCCTTCTCTCCAGTGCAATGAGAAAGCGCGGCCTCCGGCAGCTGTTCCCCAGGGCTGGCACCTCTCAGTATAATTTTCCTCAGTTGGGACTCTGTCCCTTGAGGGAGTCGCCCTCTAGTGCATTCTGCACAAAGAGGGAGACGCAACTGAGAGATGATAAGTAGACGTGAAATTACTCAAAAAGAGTAATTTAACCTTGCTAAAAAGACGTTTCCTCTGTAGTTAGATGGTGTATCAGGTCAGGGTCTATGGCAGTTCCGTGTAGGGCACAGGTTCGATTCTTTGTCGGAGGATACCCATTTTCTTTGAGATTTTTCGGACATTTAAAATTGGTAATTTTCAATTTTGTAGTATAATTTAATATTTATTAGTTAGAATGAATTCTATTTTAGTCTCTAACCCTAACATTAAAGCATTCAATAATTATTATAACCTAAGTCCGTTGTCAAGTTTTTTGAATTCTCCTGTACTTGTATTTTGATTGATAGAGAGGGATGAGAAAAGGGGGTAGAGATAGAGATAGATAGATAGATAGATAGATAGATAGAGAGAGAGAGAGAGAGAGAGAAAGGAAGAGAGAGATATATAAAGAGGGAGATAGAGAGAAAGAGAGGGAGAAAAGCGAGAGGGTTAAAGAGAAAAAGGGACATAGTGAAATGGAAAGAAATAGAGAAAGGGAGAGAGTGATAAAAGGAAAGAGAGAGAAGTAAAAATAGGGCGAGAATGATAAAGAGAGACATATAGATAGATAGATAAATAGAAAAACAGAGAGAGAGAGAGGGAGTGAGAGAGGGGGAGAGGGAGAAACGTCTGATTTAAGCATATTAAATCCCTTCAGGGTTTAAAATGTACATTTGGTTCGTGTTTGCCAGCTGCAGGAAAAGAAAGCCTTTCGCTTTTTCTTTGGTATGAATTCGAAATAAGGCGACCTTTACTGATGTTTTGATGTCTCTACAGGTGAAGAAACCTTTTACCACCTTCTGTTTCTCGTTACCGAAGAAGGAGCATTTCTCTTTGTGTTGGACGATTTCCTGACGAAAAGATGGTTTTGTGTTCCTGAGAGCTTTTCTCCCAGAATAACATTTCTGAATCTTATTTGCTACTTAGGCGTAACAAAGATAAGAACGATACATATTATAGCCGAATCCTATCAGTAACACTTGCATTCATTTCTGACCAATTCTTCCTATATAGCAAAGTATTTCTATAACAAAATTATTTGCAATAGTATTTCGATAGCATTCTATGTTTTTTTATATAGTATTTCTGTAATTTTTGCAAGCCAGTTACAATGTAATAGCAAGAATCTTTTTTTTCTCTTTATTCTACTGCGATACACAATTGCTTCTTTGAGAGATTCCACTTGCTCCTCTGTTAGGAAGTTAGGACGAGTGTTACATCCAGTTATTAACTCAGATAATTAATGCACCACTGTAGGATTTTTCCACCAGTGGTCCATTAATTATATCAGAAACGCTGTTTGATTTTAATGAGAAAATAATAATAATAATAATAATAATAATAATAATAATAATAATAATAAGAAGAAGAAGAAGAAGAAAATCTGGAAAGAATAAAAGAAAGAACGAAAGGAAAGAGAGAAGAGGCAATAACGTTCTCATGCGTGTGACGTCTGCTTCAGTGAAATGAAAAAAATTACAAATTTTGAATCTTTTCATTTGTACCCTCTAACTTCTTTAAATAATGACACGCATTAAAAATTTATGATCGTTATTGCAATATTTAGTTGAAGTTTTTAAGCTCGACTATTTAACGATGCTTTAGGAGAAATTCTAAGGGTATTTTAATATATATATCGCGGATCTCGCAAGAAGCTTATATAATCGTTAAGTTAAGAATTTATCAGAAAATTAAAATAGAAAAACCACGAAAACCTTTACCACTGCTAGTGTATTTTTAATTTCAGAAATTAAAGAAATTGTCTTTTATTCAAAGATACAAGAGAATAGATCTTGCAAGTGTCCTGAAAAAAAAAACGGTTTTACAAAAAACAAAAAAACAAAACAAACAAACAAAAAGCAAAACGGCCAACTAGAAGTGAAAGAAGGAAAAGATTTTAGAAGGGATCTGAAACCAAATAATAGTATAATTTGTTAGAGTGGGCAGAGAAACAGAATATACAGGAAACTTGGTACTTACTTCCACCATCCCCGAGAGATCTTGAAGTTGTTTATTTGAAAATCCATGGAAAAACTACAACTAATAAAACAAAAAATTGTTTACGCTTTCTTTCTGACAATCGCGAAAAAAAAAAAAAAAAAAAAAAAAAAAAAAACGAAAAGTCTTTTCTTATTCGCCTATTGCGAACACAGAATGAAGTTCATTTTTTTTAAATCCTTTCACCCAAGCAATGCAATAATGGTCTGTCCTGAGTATGACGATACATCCTGGGTAAGACGATAAACTACGTCCAGCAGCAAGGCCTCTGATCAGGAGGTTTTAAGGAGCGCGGAACCACCTCTTAATTGCTGGTGTTCATAGGTCCACCCTGACCTGGGGTGGTAGCACCTGTTAGGGTCCCAGCTATGGGTAAAATAGTTAACTCCCAAAATAGGATCAAAACACTATGAAAGTGTAAAAATAGGTTTTTAATAACAGCAATAAACATTTGAGGAAAAAATATTACCAGCAATAAATTTTTGAAGAAAAATTATTATCAGCAATAAATTTTTGAAAAAAAGTACCATTTTCCAAGACAAGTCTGTTAACCGATACTCCATGGCAAGGCACCATGAGTGAAAGTGATACAGATAGATAGAAGAATGGGAGAGAGAGAGAAAAAAGAGAGAGAGAGAGAGAGAGAGAGAGGAGCGATATAGAATAAGACGGAGAGAGAAGTAGAGATAGAATTGGAACAGAGAGAGGGGAAATAGAGGCAGATAGATAGGTTAGACAGATATATAGAGTGAAACAAAGAACATAGAGATAGAGGGATATATATATATATATATATATATATATATATATATATAGAGAGAGAGAGAGAGAGATAGCTAGAGAGAGAGAGATAGGCAAAGGGAGATATATATGTATGGAAACATATAGAGTGAGAGAGAGCGATAGAGAGAAAGAAATAGAAATGAGGGAGAGATGAAGGGGGGGTTATATAAATAGAGAGAGAGGGAGAGAGTGAATGAGAAAAAGAAAGAGAGAGAGAGAGAGCAATCGGGTAGCCTTCATGGCGCAATGTATATTTTTCGTTTTATTAAATAGTTTTTTTTTCTGTTTGAGTAAACACAAGCGAATAATTTTGTCTGGCCATCGTTTGATCTAACGATTCCTCATTAGTTTCAGCCTTTGTACAGACATCAGAACCATCAAATCGCAACGAAACGAAAAGAAATGGAAGGAAAAAAACGCCAGAAAAAGTAAAAAATAAATTAATTTTAAGAAAAAAATGATATAAAAATGATATAAAAATGATATAATAATGAAAGGCCTTTGTAAAAAAGAACAAAAAACAACAAGAAAAGTTTTAAAAATAAAAAGATAACAACGAATGAGAGAAATAAATTAAAATAGAGAAGGAAAGAAAGAAAGAAAGAAAGAAAGAACAG